CCAGTGACTTCCACTTCCAGAGGAAGTTGATCCTGTCCCCAGCTGTCGGGATGAGCTTCCATCACCTTGGGTGACTCCGTTCTCAGCAGAGACTGGGGCAGTGTATTACCCAACGGTGGTCAATGAGACATAATGGAAACTGTAGTTGGAGGCGTCTGGGAAAGGTTCCCCATGCAACCATTAGAAGAGATAGTCTCTCTGCCTCCTTTGAAAATTCTGGTGTCTGGATGTGGTGCACGGAGCGCCCTCAGGACCAGCCCGAAGAGGAGGTCGACCCCAAAGATGACTTAGAGAAGACACTGAAAGAGCCTCAGTCCCTGGTGACAACTTTAGGCTTCGCCCAAGTGCAGTCCGTCCCACTCTGGGCTCCCAGTTCCGGGAGATGAGGGGCTCCCCGACTGTGGAGGTAGGCTTGAGAGGGGTTTCTCTTCCTTTCGGCTTGTACTGGTGATCTGTTGCTATGGAACACATTACCTCAAGACGCAGAGGCTTAAGACAATAAGCATGAATTATCTCACAGTTTCTGTGGGCACAGCTTGGCTGGCTGCCTCTGAGTCTAGGTCTCTCACAGCGCTGCAACCGAGGTGCCCCTGGGCTGTGGTCTCAACTATGGGCTCTGCTGAGGGAGCATCTGCTTCTAGGCTCCCTCCAGCGGGAGTTGGCAGGACTCAGTTCTCATGCTCAGTGGGCTGAGAATCTCAGTTCCTCACTGGCTGTTGGCTGGAGGCTCCCTCCGTTTTTTTTTTTGCCACGTGGATCTCCCCAAAGAGCGGCTCTCAACATGGCAGCTGGCTTTCCTCAGAATGAGCGAGGGAGAGAGGGAATCCAAGATGGAAGCCACAGTCTTTTTTTAAACCTAATCTCAGAAGTGACAGGTGACATCCCACTGCTTCTGCCACATTCTGTTCAGCAACGTTAGTCACTAAACCCAGTCCATGTTCATGGGTAGGGGATTACACAAGGGGGTGAGCACAGGAGGTGGCGACCATTGGAAGGCATCCTAACGGGTAGGCCAGAGCCGGAAACAAGTAAGAAAGAAGCGGAGGCTAGGATGCTGGATATTCCTGAGATCCTCACATCTTTCTCAAGTGCGACCACAACAAGGGTTTGACGCAGTGCTGACCCCGTGGAGAGTATCCCATAGACAGAGCTGAGCTGGTACTGGATCCCTTTAGCCTGGAACCCATCTCAGTTCAATGAAGCTGAAGGGAAGAGCTTTATCATTGTAACCTGATACTTAGTGATTCACAAGGAGACATTTTCTGGCATATTCTGCTACTGAGTGAATGCTGTGTGTTTGCTGACGAACAGATACAAACATGAATAAGACTGGCATGGCCTCCAAGTGGCTTGAACCAGTGTGTGCAATACAACGTGGGGGTAAAGAGTAAACACCTGGATGGGGGAGGAATCTGGACTGCAGGCGTGAGGCGTGGTGGGATGGGTCCCTGAGACCCCGGCCGGGTGTGTGGCTAGAGCGTGCAGAGAGTTCACATCCCTCTGATACCCAGGCGGAGCTGGAGGACGGGCTGCGTACGGGGGGCCTCTTCAGTCAGAACACGCATTAGTGGGTGGTCACTGTATCTCTTCTGCCTACAAACCATTCGTTGGCTCAAAAAGAGTGCAGGGGGGGCGCCTGGGTGGCTCAGTCGTTAAGCGTCTGCCTTCGGGTCAGGTCATGATCCCGGGGTCCTGGGATCGAGCCCCACATCGGGCTCCCTGCTCAGAGGGAAGCCTGCTTCTCCTTCTCCCACTCCCCCTGCTGGTGTTCCCTCTCTCGCTGTGTCTCTCTCTGTCAAATAAATTAAAAAAAAAAAAAAAAAAGTGCAGGGGTGGCAGATAAATGCGGCGCTGACCTAGAACACACGGTCTTCTCCATTTATCTTTGTTGCAGGTGAATGTGGCTTTCATGGCCATGTGCCAGGTATTGGTAACATGTTCAGCATGAAGACAGGAAATGAAGCATCTGTGCTTGGGCTCAGGGCTGACGTCCAGCGAGTTCTCGGGTCAGTGGAAGGGGAGGCTGTCAGCAGCTAAGTGGGGTATATCAGCAAAGCATGAGGATGGGGGCTGCACCAAGATCCAACAGAAGTCAGGGTCAGGGTGAGGGAAAATGGCCAGAACCAAAAGTTCTGGAGAGACATCAGAATGAAGGGTGGTGCTGTGTTCGACCCATTTCACGTCTTCTTGCACCTCCTTCATCTGTGTACAGACCAGCATCCATCAGCTCTTTCATCCTTCTTATCCCTGAGGTTGGCTGAGCTCATGGTTTTCAACAAAATGTATGTTTCCTCTTTTTAACAACCTGAGTGGACTATACTATCTGTATAACAAGGAATGTGCGAAGCCAAAGATGTGCCCGTGGGAGTTTCTGGAATGGTGGGGAAAACTGGACGGGTGGTGGGTAGAGCAGCAACTGAGGGTCAGGATACCCTAACGAGAATTCCTGCTGAACCTATCCTGTGATAAGACCCTGGGCCAGTGATGTAAGTCCTTTTGACTCAGTTTCCTCCAGTGACAGAACCTACCCCCCACGCTGGGGTGGGGACTGAGTAAGACGTCACATGTGACATGCCTCGTGGACCACCCAGCCCTTGCAGGTACTCGGGGTCGGTCTCCACTAGAAGCACATCATTTCTTTTACAAGGAATGCAGGAGAAGTACAAGAGCTTATGGCTGGCATAAAACCATCTCCACTCAGCTTCCTTCCACACTGCTGCAAATAGCCAGAAGTCTGACCAGAAGGTGAGACTGTATACGCCAGCAAGGGGCCCAAATTCACATCCAGCAGTTACGTGCCAACAGCCAATAGCCCCCTTGTGACAGGTGGAAGGAATACCCAGGTTTCAACATCTTGTGAAAAAAATAAGACAGATGACAACACAGGGTTTGTTTTCCTTCACTGCTCTGAAGTCCCGAATCAAAGAAGGCAGGGTGCTTTCTGCCTGGTTGGGTAGGAGATCCCGGTTTTCGATGCTGCAAAAAATGGTCAGGAAAGTTCTGCACGTTGGGAAAATAGAAGCTCCGAGTTGGATGCATTCAGTTCTGGTGCAGGGGCAGCCAGGAGACAGGAGCAGGGAGCAGGAGGAGGAGGAGACTTTGCGGAGCCCCAGCTCCCTACCTCACAGGGCCCCTCTCCCCCCATTCCTCCCGCTCTTCTTCACTAGGTTACTGGCATTTCCGAGAGGGGAAGAGGGTGGGGGGAATTATGACCGGAGGGCCAAGGAGAGTCTGATGACATGTCTGGGGAAATGAAGGCATGGGGAGAATACCATGGGCCCAGGAGCGGGGTGGGAGGGCGGGGCGAAACCATGAAGCAAGAAGATGGGGAACCTCATCCTTTGTCTGTTGCCTGGTTCCATTCTCTCTAAGGGAGGGGCAGGAAATGATTTCACAGCACCATAGAAACCCAGGAGGAAGCTCTCCTACCCAAGCCTGATGCCAGCCTTTGGAAGCAGCCCTCCCAAATCTCGCCTGCCAGTCTCCCCAGCAGATGCCACACACCGATGGTGTCCCCCAAGTGCAAGGAGGCCTGGGAGGAAGTGGGGATCTGCAGGTTTGCATCAGTTCAGGTGTGGGCAAGTGTGCAAGGCCTGGCTGTCCCATCCACAATCTACTGGTCTTGCAACAATCCCCTAATTGCCATTTAGCTTTGCTGTTTTCCCTCGGCTATTCCTCCCCTCACTGGATCGCCCAGGGTCCACAGGAGGATTCTGGGCATGAGGACAGCATCCACAGAGTTGGCCCCCGAAGCTCATGGGCTTGAGACCCACTCTCTTCAGAGATGGAACAGCTCCAGAGCTGTCTACACCTCGGCTGTTATCTTTCTGACTGAGATGTCTGATCCTTTACTTTTCAATACCCTGTAGACATTATTTGCTTCCCAGAAGCATGTCCAACGTCAAGATGATCAAACATATTTGAAGGATGGAAAATAAGTATTTGTCAGAAAAGATGGAATGAATCAGGATTAGTTTTCCTACAGCAGTAGATAAGTAATCCGACAATTATCTTCTTTACCCAGAAGCTGGCAGCGAGCTAATCATCATTTCCAAAGAAGACAGAAAGAGATCAAGGGGTTCACTGTCAGAAAAGTATGAACTTCCCAGCCAGAGGCCGCACCCACGCATGGGCCCCGGCTGCTCACTGGGCGGAGTATAGAGTGGCGGACACTGTTTTGAGAATATGGTCCAGGATTGTGCCCCTTTATGATGAAGCATCGTTGCCAAGCTGAGTCATCCTCAAAGGGGCGAGCACGGGCTTGCCATGCTGATGACGCCATCAGAATACATATGGTTAAATATGTAAAATGATTACCCATCAGGAGGGAGGAGTGCTACACACAGTATTTATGGAAGTCCCAAAGAAACCTCAGGAGACAACGAAGACAGCCCGGTCTCAGCCAGGGTACGACAAGAAGTAGAAAACAATGAGACTTTAATTCTGGCTATTGCTAGACGGAACTCAAGCTCTTTCCCCTTCTGCTGCCTCCGTTTCCCTTTCTGCAGGGTAGCACTCCTACCGCTTCGTCGCTGACCATACGATTCAAAGGTCCTCATTCATAAGTCCCCCCAGGTCTTGAACACGGCTCTCCTCTGCACTCTCAGCTTGCCGGAGTGAGCTCACCAACAAAATCCCATAATTGCTGAACTGGACTGAGTGGGCTCTTGCTACCTGCAGACTTCTGAGGTTAGTTCTAATTTGAGGAACAGTAGCTCCTAGCTGACTGTCTTCACCCACACAGTGCGATTTTGGCCGAGGTCTGACCGCAGTGTGAATGATTAATGAGTTAAGTCATTCTTTATGGGCACCTGCATGGCATTCCGAGCGCATTCACTGTTAAATCGGACACACTGCATTGAGCATTTAGAAAGAAAAGCTGGAGAGGAACGTCACAAACACCCCAAAACAAGAATGGAAAGTCTGGAAACCCAGCCCTGATACCGGTGAGCAGAGAGATGGGCAGTTGACATATGGGAAAGAAAACAAGAGGCACGTACGTGTGGGTCTCAGGTCCGAGGCCTCGGAACCAGTACTCTCCCCAGGAAAGCCGAGAGGCTCCGCCACGTCTGTGTCGGGAGGAGGGTAGGGTGGGGGCGGGGGGAGCACTAACTGGGGGGGCCCCCGAGCAGAGCCTCTGGGAGGCTTTTGTGGCACCTGCCGTCCAACACCTACATGGAATCAACAGGGGTGACTTCAGAAGGTAAGCCCGAAGACTCTCTGCCCTCCCACGGAAGGCACACAGCCATCACTCACCCGGGCATCAAAAATAACCTCATGGCACCGAATCCAACCACACCCAGCACCAAATCCAGCCTCATGGCACCAAATCCAGCCATACCCAGCACCAGATCTGACCACACTCGGTACCAAATCCAACAGCAGTCAGTACTGAAGTCAACCTCACTACGCATCAAATTCAACCACACCTGCCACGAAATCCAGCCACACCCGGTATCAAATCCAACCACACTTGGTACCAAATTGAGGCTCATTAGGCACCAAATCCAGCCTCATGGCACCAAATCCAACCACACCTGGTATCAAAGTCAACCTCACCGTGCACCAAATTCAACCACGCCTGCCAACAAATCCAGCCACGCCCGGTATCCAAATTCAAACTCACTAGCCATCAAATCCAGCCTCATGGCACCAAATCCTGCCTCACTCATGCTTTAACATTTTACATACACAGTGTCCTCTCCTTGAGCCAAACTGAAAATACCTACTTGTTTGCAATTTGTTTCTGGCAGGCACAACTACTCCCAAATGCCGGGCTTGAAATGATTCTTAAAAGCCCCCTTGGCAGCTCTGTTGCGTTAAAAGGAACTCCTTTTATACATGTTAGTTTTTATTGGGGATTATTTTTTTTTAGCTTCCTCTTGTTATTTTTACCTGTTAACTATTGTGGATTAAGTAGCCACTAAATCAGCTTACCTCTTTAAGCCCATTTATATCAGCAATTTGTTCCATTGTTTGGGGTAATAATTTTCAAAGTTTGTTTTGAAAAGGGTCCCGACTTGGAGAAAGAGTTAGAGGGGGCATCTCTGTTTCATCTGACCTCTGGAACCCTTGGGGCAGCCCCTTCTTTGCTCTGCTGACACCTGGGGGATCCACTTGCCATTTTATAGAAATGGCTTTCTTCTGCTAATAAGATTTTTGAAGGTCAATGACTTAATATAACAAAGCCGTATATATCCCTTGTGCCATAAATCATACTTCCCAGTATCTCTTTGAAAAACGCTTTTTTCAAGCTTTTATGTTTGGAGTCATGTAGTAACTAAGAGACTCTGTGCTTCATGCCTGCCATCAGATTATTAATAAATAAATATTAAGAAATATAATTTCTTCATCAAGAGACATATCCACTTATTCCTTCTCTTGATTACAGTTCTCTAGATGTGGGAGAATAGTGATGTCCCCACGGCTAGACATCATTTGTCACCTCAAAGTGCAAAGAAGCCACAAGCCATCAGGATGAGCACTGTCTGGTTGGTCCACGGAAGTCACCCCCAAGGGCAAGGCATGTGGGGAGAACAGGCTTTGTCCTGGAAGCTTCTCTCTACCAGAAGGCTCAGTTTTTGTTTGCCAAGGAACTTGGGTCAGACCCAAATCCAACCAATACCATTTTAGTGCAAGTTTCAATTTTTTTCCCCCTCTTATATCTAGGTATCTGAATAAAAAGATGCTCGTTTGTGTGGGGTGTGTGGGCAGGGGTAACTTTTTACATTTGTATCTGTTAATGTGAAGCCTAGACTTCGGTTAGCAAAGTTCAGCTTGCGGGATCGCTAGCGTACCGTTACTTCACGGGGATCCCTGATGGGGATGGAAGCCTCCCTTAAAATTGTTACCAAGACCTCTACCATCCTCCTGACCTCTCAAAGTATTCAAGGTCACTGCCAGCCCGAAGGGAGCTTCTGGCTTCCTTCTCAGTCTTCACAAACCAAAGTTGACAGATGAGAGAGAGGCTCGTAGTGAATTACTACCGTCCATACCTCCTCCCTGTAATGTGCTCCTTAGAGCGGGACTTGTCCGTACGGTTTTCAGTTTCCAAACACCCACCTCCCTCTCCTGAACAACCATGGGCACTGGCTGCCTGCCCGCACCCGGGCCAGGTTCTCCAAGCGTGGGGACACGAGCCGGCAGTCAGTCCTTCACAGCTGATCGGGAGGCCCTCCCTTGGTCTGAAATGGGCTGTCTGGCCTGGAGGTTGGCACGACTCAGCCGCATCCACACTACCACCTACAGTGGATGCTTCTTACGAGTGCAAGCAGGAACCATAAATCTGAGGGCTGTCATCCCTTTGCCACAAGAGTGGGCGAGAGCTCGGCAGGGAGAACAGGGGTCTCGTCACGGAAAAGGAGACAACGAGGTTTATTTTGAGAAGCTGCTGATCATGGGTTTTGTAAATCTGGTAGTATTTTCCTCTGGTCAAGAGGATGAACTGGCATGAAACATAGACTACGGTTCCTTAGGATCATCACTTCCCTGGTGGCGAAATGCTGAGACATGAACAGGGAGGTGTTGCCTGGGGGAAAAATGGCTGACACACAGCCAAGCAGCTCGTATTAGAGTTTTGGACACTGACAATGTATGCGCTTATCCTTGGGAGTCTTCCTTTTGGGGGCCACAGTCATGGGGTCTAGGGGAGAATGTGAGGGTGCCCTATGGAGTAAAGTAGCATCAGGCCCACATGGCCATCGGATGGCCTCTGTAATGAGCTGATGCACCTGTAATCACAGGGCCTTGTCTCAGGCAACCCCCGCTCCTCAAGAGCAACATCTGTTCCTACATAAATGAAATTACAAACATGGACTGGCTTAAAATTAAATGAACCATCCCCGACTCTTGGATCTAGAGACCCCTGCCACGTCTCTCTCGGCCACCTGTAACATGAGGAGGTGGTATTTAATGATCTAACATGTCTCGCTGCTCACAGATATTACGGTTCCATCCTTTTTCCTTTCGGTTCCTTGTTCCCAAAAATATCAGGGTGTGTGTTTGCTACATATGTAAAAGTGGAGGTCGATTTCAAACAGGGTGGTCAAGAAATTAGGGAACTACTGTCAACTGATCTATAAACCTCCTGGGGACTAGAGGTCTTTCAAAATAGCCTCCACAGACGTCATCCTAAGAACACACATCCTTCCATCAGGGAGACACACACATGCGCGCACTCACCGGTCTGGCGCTGCTCATCTCCTCTCGAGCACCCTCAGCCATCCTCCACCCTTTCCGCCTGCCCCCCACCTCCGAGCCTCCATGATGCCCGGAAAATATGCCTGTAAGATACTAAGTGAACCCTCAGGTGTTTATTTCCAGACTTTCTTTCCTTAGCATAAATATTTTCCGAGTTAATGCCATAGTGGAGGACGCGACTGCAAGAGTTAATAGCAGTGCCAGAATTCCACACAAGACCAGGCTCAGGGGCGTGCAGACGGCAGCTCGGCACACTCACCCGTGGTGCTCTTCCTGTTCTCCTCCCTGTCCTGCGTGCGAGGGGGCACCAGGGGGCTTGGCGTCGGGGGCTGTGGCGTCGGGGGGGCTGGCGCCCGCCTCTTCTTTTTCTGCAGGTCAATCTGGGACCCCAGAGATACCTGGGAAGCACAAAGAAAGGTGACAGTGTCAGAGAGTGGGGTGCACAACTCAGAGAAGCTGGCCTATGGGATGCGGTGCTCTAAGGAGCGTTGGTAGATTGCCAGGTTCCTTTCTGGGGTCCCAGGGCAGGTGGCGGATGCCCTGGTGTGAGGGCTTGCCGTGCAGCTCAGGAGCGGCCCCGAGGTGGCCCAAGGATGCTCACAGACATCCCAAGACCCCTCTGAGCTGGGGGAGCTGGGGCTCTGCCCCAAATTGCCAAGGGATTTCAGGCCAGTCAGGGGACTTCGTAACTTCCCCTCAGAATAAATATGAGAAAGGGGACCCTTCACCCTTCGTTAAATGCAGAAGAGAACCAGTCCTTCTGGAAACTTGAGCAAGGGCTGCCATGATGTGCACCCACGCAGTGGGAGAGCAGAAGGGCCTGGCTCAGGGCTCACTGTGCCCGGAATTCCGCTTGTTCCCCTGCCCCTGCATGTTCCCGAGCAGCCAGGACTAGTCACTGTCCACAGATGGGCCACCCACGCACCGGAATTACAGTGAAGTTTGTCAGACTGTGGCTCACGGTGTCAGCCTAGGGGATGTCAAGCTCTGTCCACGCAGAAACCCTGCTCCCACCGAAGAATTGTCCCAACGACAAATTCACAGCTTCGAAAGGCTGCATAAAGACTGCATGTTCTCCTCTCTTCCCCAATACAAAGTTTTCATCCGTTCGTTCTCATCGATGGATTTCAATGCACTGCATTTGAACGTGCAGAGTGTGTGCAAATAAGGAAAACCATTTACTCTGCTGAGTCCCTGCGCTCAGGGAGCCCACAGCTGAGTCCCTGCCTGGGGTCGAAACAGTCCCTGATGGCTCAAGGGCTCGTTGTGGGAGGGCTGCCTACCAACCCCACCCCAGTGTGGATCTGTTCTACCCCTGGTGCTCCCTGGTTTAGGAACGCAGGCTCCCAGCATGTGTGCTGAACTGGGCGCATGCCCCACTTCCATAGAAGGCAACGTCCTCTTCTGGGCTGGGCCTGGTGTTTCCTGTGTTTGTATGTGTGTGTGTAAAGAGTCTCCTTTTAAATTTTTCTCAGTAATACACATTTATTGCAAAATAAGTTTATATTTAAAAACTACATAAGCAAAAGAAAGAAAAAAAAGTCACTTTGTTAATACTCGGATTCTAACTACTAACAGTTGGCATACATTTTTTGGTCTTTACTTTTTTTTTTTTTAGATTTTATTTATTTATTTGGGAGAGAGAACAAGCACAAGCAGGAGGAACGGCAGGCAGAGGGAGAAGTAAGTAGGCTTCACACTGAGCAGGGAGCCCAATGTGGGGCTCGATCCCAGGACCCTGGGACCACGACCCAAGCCGAAAGCAGAGGCTTAACCAACTGAGCCACCCAGGTGTCCCTGGTTTTTACTTTTTCTTTTCAAAGTCATATACTTTCCACCCTTCTACTACAATATACAACGTCCACCTCCTTTACCCATACAGCTCTGTAATATATTTCATGGAAAACACGGACAGAAGGAAAATCAAGTCACTCCACAAAGCTCAGAGCCTAGCCAGTACCTCATGGTCCACACTGCCCCCACTCCAGAGGAACCACTTCAAACCCTCTCTTTTGACGTTTACTCTGTTTTTAAAAATAATACACTTATTCTGCTATTTCTTGATTTCCCCATGTTAGATACTGGCTTTCTACTCCAGAAGAGGAAGATTTAGCTCCCTGACACACACACACACACACACACACACACACACTCACACACACATATGCACCCACAGTTCCTCCTCAATCTTTCCAGAAATTATGGCTCAGGGTTAAATTAACACTATCTAGTTCTACATATATAGTTATAATAGATTTAATTCCATCAAACAGAAATCTTCAAGAGGAAGTTTCTCCAGCTGAGACGTTTCACGTCTATGTTGACGTTTTCTTTCTGGGTCATTCTGATTTCTCTGAACTTGGTAATTGATTTGTTTTCTAACTTTTTCTTCTGGGTTTCCTGGAAATGGCTTTTCCTTGACTCAGCTGTTTTTCTCCCTTGTTTCCTGGATCCCAGGCCTTTTTAAAAATTGACTTCCTTGTTAGAGTGGGGCTCAGGCTCTGTCAGCTTTCCAAGGCAAGATGTACGTGAGGTGACTCTAGGACACCTTCAAAATCTATGACTGTTTCTATGCTGTTCTCCTCACCAGCTGGTCATAGATGCTGGCTCTGTTTTCTTCGTGTGGTCCGCTTCCCCTCTACGAGCTTTAAGGACCCTCTCTCGTCCTTGGAGCCCCGAAATGTCTGACAGCATGCCCTGGGCTGGAGTGCTCTCCACCCATGGTCTGGGGTATTTGTGGAACCCTGCAATCTAGAAATCCTTTAATGCTGCAGACTGTTCTAGCATCATTCCTTTCAGATTTCTTCTTCCCTCTGTTTTCACTGTCTCTCCCTGGGTTCTGATTATTGAATACTGAGGGTTCGAAATCAATTTTCTAACTTTTCTTGAATATTTTTGCCTAATTAAAACATTTTCCTCTTTCTTGGAAATTTCCTTTACCTCATTGTCCAACTCTTGAATTTTTAAAACTCTGTGACTATGTTTTTATTTCCAAGAGCTCCTTCCCGTTACGTATTTTTTAAATAGTATCATGTCTTCTTTCCTGGATACAATATCTTCTCTTTTCTCTCTGAGGCCATTGTTTATATTTGTTAAGACGCTTTTTTTTTTTCTTTTTATGCATTGTTGTTTCCTGCACGTTCCTTTCTCCCTCTCTCTGTCTTAGCGTCTGTCTGTCACATTCTGGCCTTTCCTCAATTTCTGGCAATCCTTGGCCAATTGCTTATAATTGTGTGTTTCTGGGGACAGAGTCTCTTTGACACACCAACGGGTTTCCCTGCAGGTGCCTGGGCAGAAATCCAGTTAGCTCACAGGGGGATCCCTAAATGCACTTATCTGCAGGATTCTCTTCCATGCAGTAAGACCTTCCAGCCTCCTGCCAGAGGAGGAGTTGCAGAGCGGGAGTTCGGGGGACAGCCCTGGACCCATTGGGCGTGCGCTTCTCCTTTCTCCCGGTGCACAGTACTCTCTGTGTAACTCAGGTCCTGGAGGCAGCCTCTCAGTTCTTTCTCCTGTGGGGTCTGGCACACCTCCTGCTGTGTGTGGCCAGAGGGGTCGGGGGTCTTACTGCTTCACATACACATGTCCACTGTCCTTGGTTCCTTCTGCCTGCTGGTGTGCACAGGAACTGGGACCCCACTGTCCCCACCTCGCCAGGCCCTGCTCCCTGCCGCTGGGTCTCTCCAGCCAGAGGTCAGCCCTCAGCTGCTTCTGCTTTGCTGGGAATTTGACACAGTCCACCCAACCTAGTTCCCAGTGTCTACTGACCCCTTACTGCTCCTTCTCGCCTTCTCTTTGTTGTAGTGGGCTAATGCTCTGCATTCATTTTAGTGGGGCTTCAAAAGGAGACAGAGGGACTAACTCATTTTATCACCCGTATTTCCCTATATATTTTTAAAAGGCTGTCTGGTAAGGCATGGGATCCGTGAGCCAGAATTAATTCAGTCAACTCCATTAAGATTGTTTGGTTTTGGCCAGTAAAAATTAGACTTCTTAGCACACCCTGAGAGTTTTATCTTTTCTTGCCTTTCTTCTTCTTTCTTGTCTTTTTCTTTTTTAGCGTTCCATAAGTCCCTTTACTAGAATGTCTGAGGTAAGGAACATGTAAGATTGGAGGGACACACCAGTTCTAAATTGCTTTCCCAATTTTAAGAATCCTTGTCATGTGCTTCGCCAACAGCATTCCTCTTCCCAGAGGTAAGGACAGACCACTCAACAAACATTTGTTGAAGACCACCTAGTTCCCAGATATAGAGCGACTCCTGATCAATTAAGATAACATGCTTGGAAAGAGTTTGGCAACCTCTGAGACCACTAATCGAGACGAGTGCTAATGGGCAAAACATTTTTTTTTTCCTGGAGCTTTTGTTAGTTTAACCTGTTTAAACAGAAATGTTCTAGTAGATGTACTTACAGACTTCAAGGAAATACTATTTACAATAGCTGCAAAGATTTAGTAAATATTTACTAGGGGTGCCAACTATATCCAAATACGACTACCTCAAAAGAGCTAATTTTCCTAAGTCTGTTTGGTAAAGGAAGAAACTGAAGCTCTGCAGCTTACGGCAGATAACTTGCCCAAGGCCATACAGCTAATGAGTGGACAGAGTTGGTACTTGAGCTTTGAGTCCAAGTGTTCCTTGGAAGAAATAACTCCTGCGGTTTGGAATGGAAATGTCTATCCCTAGGAGTCCATACACAACTAACACACATGGAGTTCTCATTGTCCCACGCGGCAACCTATCCACCTACAGGGTGGAAGCAATTTGTGCTGGAGAGAGTTGCTTCAGAAAACACTTCTTAGACCTGAAGCACATCTGTATGTTCTTCAAGGAACATGTGAAATCCGGGTCTGCCCGCTCTCTGAAGCTTGTGCCTATCATTTCCCCTTCTTAGAACCAGGACATGGAGTGGCCCCTTTGGGCGGGGCCGGCTGATTCTGACCTGCCGCCCATCTGAGATTCCCTGATAGTGGAACCTGAATCCTGCAGGGCCTGGTCTTTTTAGGAAGCATCCATCCACTGTGGGTCCTTTGGTCTCATAATCTCATTGTGATAGTTATGTGTAAGGCCAGACTGGAGGTCAGAAAGTGTTTAAGGGGAGGGGAAGTTCTGCTTTAAAGAGAATGGGTTGGACTCTCACCATGAGACACAGAGCCTCCTGCTGCCACCTTGCTCCTGGAGCTTGCTCAGGGCGTGGCATTTTGTAGGAATGCGAGAAAAAGCGGTTCGTGCCTGTGTGTGTGTGCGTATGTGTGTGCATGTGTGCATATGTGCGTGCATGTACGTGTGTGTGAATATGCATATGTGTGTGCATACAGGTGTGTGTGCACACATGTGCGTGCATGTGTGTTTTCCATGTTCCTTTACAGTTTTTATCTATATGAATACGACATTCA